AAGCCTTTCTGTTCCAGGAGTGGCTCTCCATGATCTATTCTACTGTTGCAGAAAATATTTAACAATTGCATATGTTCAGAGAACATGACAAGTAATCTGGAATCAAATTTTTAATGTAAAAATCTCCTGCTGGTTAGCTCAATCCTTTAAGTTTTCTTTAGTAGCTGAGACTTCATAATCTCTCCCTTCATCTCCACAGCAAGTTATTTCTGATTTTAAGTTTTGAAGAGGAAAACATTTTTTACAAGGTCTGCAACTCTTAAATTTCTGCCTAAGAATAAAGGTTAAAAAATGAGTCACCTAAAAATCCCACAAACACCAACTCCTTGTTACTGCTGTTAGTTCTTACCGGCTCTTTGGATTACTGCACCCAAAAGAATGTTTTTGTTGTTGCTGTTTTAGTTTTAAGTCTTCACTCATTTTCCTGTTTATTTTTTGTACATCATGCATTATAGACAATGAAAGTGAATTGGTCAGTTTCACATTGTGTGCTAACTGAACTTTTGCATAATAATGTAATGTTTGTGCTGCAAGCACTTGAAGGAAAGCTTTAAAACCAAACCAGCAGAAAAACAAATTCAATCAAGCCACATTCACCACCTTAGATTTGGGATCTAAATTGCCTGACAAAGGTCCTTTAGAACTGTTAACAGAAAAATGCCTGAAGTCAATGGAAACTAGGGATGTGAAAGTGTAACTGATATGCCTGGGCTTATCCGTTAACATTCATGGTTAGACACAGGCTCCCTTGTACGCATGGGGAGCCAGCTTAAAAACCAGCTGCCGGTATACACTGGCTCCCAGGGAGTCATCTGCTACCCATGCTGCTGCCTCTGATACAGACGCAGCAGCATGGAGCTGCATGTAAGAGCTGACTGCTGCCCTACATGTAACCACTGAAAATGTCAGCTGTTAAAATTTATGTAATTAAGAAATCATGTAACATCCCTAATGGAAACCAGCAATAGACTGCATTAGCAGGATGTGTATATTCAGGGCTCGACAAACTATAGAATCTACTCGCCCGTGGTGAGTAGATTTCAGCCGCGTGACCCGTTTACTGGCAGTGTGTGCATGCACAATGCGGCTCTTGCGCATGCGCAGTGCCGGGCTGGCGAGTGGCTTTCGCTGCCGTTTGTCAAGCCCTGTGTATATTTATATCACACTATGGTAGAGACTCAAGTTAAAGGATCATTACTAAGTTTACAAAGTCAATCACTCAAAGCTTAGAGAGGCCAGAATTAAGGTTGCCTATTCAATTTATTGTTTTCTCATTGCTCAGCACGGCCCCAACCTACAAAATATTCAGACCTTGCTCTGGACACAGAATTTGTAATTTCCTCATGGGCTTTTCTGTAGTGCTCATTACTGATGGATCCAAATGCTTCACAAATACTAATTTATTTTCAGAATACTCCTGTGATCATGATTTCCATTTCACAGATGGGGAGCTAAGCCACAGAGATTAAAATCAAACGTACCCACAAATTTTAGGTGCCTAATTTGAGACCCACAACTTGATTTTTCAGATGATTAGCATATTATTGTACTTCAGATGTTTAAAGCACAGATCCCTTTGGGACTGCTCAGTGCATCTGCAAATCAAACTCCTAGGTCTTGAGTCAGTCACCCAGAAAATAAGGAACAAATAATTAGTGACCTGCATGCAATGTGTTTGAATGACCCGTGCAGCCTTAAAGAGAAAGTCTTTGGCAGAGATAATGATAGAATCCAATTTATCAGGTTAGTATTCAACTGCCTTAACCAGGATACTACCTTATCTCTTCATGATTGTAGGTCAGACTCACTTGAGCCACTCAGCTTCTGTTACAGCAGATTACCTGCAAACTTTCTGGTGTCAGCAGTGCCCTATTCTTGTTGCAAAATGAACATTTCATTCCCTTTGGAACAATAGTTTGAATTGACCCATATTGTACTGGTAGACTTTGCCCTTAATAACTTGTATTGCTTCCCTAAAAGAGCAAAGAGTGCAATGCTCTGGGATAAATCCTGAATGACTGAGATCAATTTGGGGAGGATTACAATTTTAGTTTGAGCTCCAGCTGTGTGTAAAAAAATGTCAGAACAGGGAGCTGCATGTAAGAGCTGACTAATGCCCTACATGTAACCACTGAAAATGTCAGCTGTTAAAATTTATGTAATTAAGAAATCATGTAACATCCCTAATGGAAACCAGCAATAGACTGCATTAGCAGGATGTGTATATTCAGGGCTCGACAAACTATAGAATCTACTCGCCCGTGGTGAGTAGATTTCAGCCGCGTGACCCGTTTACTGGCAGTGTGTGCATGCACAATGCGGCTCTTGCGCATGCGCAGTGCCGGGCTGGCGAGTGGCTTTCGCTGCCGTTTGTCAAGCCCTGTGTATATTTATATCACACTATGGTAGAGACTCAAGTTAAAGGATCATTACTAAGTTTACAAAGTCAATCACTCAAAGCTTAGAGAGGCCAGAATTAAGGTTGCCTATTCAATTTATTGTTTTCTCATTGCTCAGCACGGCCCCAACCTACAAAATATTCAGACCTTGCTCTGGACACAGAATTTGTAATTTCCTCATGGGCTTTTCTGTAGTGCTCATTACTGATGGATCCAAATGCTTCACAAATACTAATTTATTTTCAGAATACTCCTGTGATCATGATTTCCATTTCACAGATGGGGAGCTAAGCCACAGAGATTAAAATCAAA